TGTATTCCTATCCTATACGTATTTTTCGTACATTCATGTGTTAAATTTCATTTCAATGTAGCATGTGTCTTTTTATTTTGCTATATTTTCTTACACTATGAGGAAGATATTCATATTTCGACATCCTTCTGTTATTATTTACACTTTATTCACACTTTTTTCTTCTCTTTTCTGTTAGTAGATCTATTTTACATTTTTTTACAGTTATTGTTTTTTTTTAGTTTACCCTTGTCCCGATCCTCATTTTCTTTTTCCTTTCCTGTGCCTTATCGCCCACTATCTCTTTCTCCGTTGGCTTCATACCCCCAGGTGAGGGACGAGGCGCACACGGTCGAGTCCAGTCGCTCCCGCCGCCCCTACAAGCCAAAACGGGCAGGCCCCTTCAAGCCTACTCAGTTTATTGTTTGGAAGGAGAATGAGACAGAGACACATCAGCGCTCCAAAAGTCTTGATCGAATGTACCAAGAAAGGCGTGCTTTAGAGTCTCGCCAGACGTCAAAATTAGCCATTCAAGATTCACAAACAACTTTCGATAGCCACGATTCTCGACACTTTAGTGAACGAGCTATTGCTGAAGCTCGTGCTGCTCAACAACAGTCTAGTCTCATGCAGGCTGAACGATACAGTCATCAGTACCAACACCAACATACACATCAGTACCAACAGCAGATGGCAATGAGCTCAACTGCTAGTCACCGCATGAGAGCGGAAACCAAAGCAGTACCTGAACCTCCCTGCCCCATGTGTGGAAATCCCGATTTCCATCCAAATGAGTAAAAGTTGCTCTTCTGCCGTCCCTCCTCCCTCTCTCCTCGCCTTCCCTTCATCTTCCCTCGTTTCCAACTCACACCAGACAGTAATAGATGCTTCATAATTTTTATGTAGCGTGCAGTAGCGACCCTCTTAAACTCATTTCTGTATTTAGATCTTTTTCTTAGCGTTTTAGTTCAGAAGGAATGCATTTTTTACGCAGGATGTACATGAGTAATTCACCCTCATTCATATTATTGTAGCGTTGTGTAGACCTCCGCGTCGGGGGTAGAATAATCGGATGGCCGAGCAGCTTCCCTTTCCCCGACGTTTCTCTTTCGAACGAAAATAAAGTCTTGGGATGTTATTTCCATTCACGTGAACCTCGAACGAAGCGAACGAACAGTCGCTTGCCTCTTTGTCTTTGCCTTGTGACTTCCCCAGCAGCCTCACTGTATCGCAACGAGAGAAGGACACTCGTCTTAGTTCAGAGGAAGAGGTGTCGATGAGCTAAGACGTATTTCGAAGTCTGTTTCTCTGGTTGACGAGTTTTACCCTTTTGTCAGGTGATATTATGTTTGCGGTTGAGAAAAGGAAGTGGCTATATCCATGTTTCTTATCGATAATGTGGTTAACGATGTGTATATAACTATGTATATATGGTTGGCATAAACTTAATTCCTATGATCTTGAAGTGAAATCGAGCTTAAGAGATTCCTTGTATTAGGCACAGGATCGCCTGTCACGTCACATATTCCTCATTGTTTTCTACAACAGTGGGAAAGAACATCTATCTCATTCTCTATTCCTTCTTTTCAAGAATAGTTATTCTAATTAGGAAAAAAAACCTAAACCGTAAATTGAACATCTAATTCTTATATTTAGTAACTAACACAACAGAAGCAGAGCAAAAGTATGAAATGAACATAACCAATCTCTCTAACAAACCTTCCTCTTGACTCTACCAACACAGTCGCCAGAAACACACCCCAGCCAATGACACATCTGTTTGGTTTAGCCTGTGGTTTCCATTCGCGGTTTGCCCTCTTAACATTGTGGTATTCAGAATGAGGTATTTGAGACTGATTATTAGACTAAGACAAAGAAAAAAGTCGACAACTACAAGAACTGCCAACTAAACTTCTTTGAAACCCGACATTCTTACATGAAAGATTCAGGATGGAAGACTGCCTTTCTATTAGCTCCATCAGATGAACTTGGACAAATGGCTAGTAGGTGGTGTCCGGTAAAAGTCGCAACTCGAGAGCTTTTTACGGAAACTTGGAATCTCGTTTTATAATAATAATAATGATAATAATAAAAAGAAAAGAAAAGGTTTAACATCATTGTTAAAGGAGAGACTGTAGTTTCTTAAAATTTTCATCTCGGTACCAATAATTGGGATCTATTACGCAATCCTTGAATTAGTTTATGTTCTTGCAAATACAATAAAAGTTGCATATATCTACTACAAGAAAATCACTACTTTTCCGAATCACGCGATTCTAAAGTCAAAGTAAAGGGCTCTAAAAGTAGTTTTTTCCCCTGCACGTTTTATTTCTGTTATTCCCAAAGACTCCCGATTGAAAGCTGGTTCAGGTAATGCCCCCCCCCCCCCGTTCGCAGCTCTGACACGACAGTCAGTTATTAGGCTTTACCACAGACAAATAAAGACCCTGTTAGCAGTTCTGCCCCGATCATGAAAAGTGAAAGTAGACTAATGAAAAGTATAGAAACATAGGAAACTGTA